GTAATATACAGGGGTACAGGTACTCCTAGAATGAGATCCTAATAGGTTGGACTTGATGGACTAATGTCTTTATTCAACCTCAAATACTATGTAACTATGTAACTAGGGACAAATCTGACCACTACCAATGTGACATCAGCTCATCATAATGTGGTGCGCACCTCCATGGCCACAGGTGTATAAAATCAAGCACCTAGGCATGCAGACTGCTTCTACAAACATTTCTGAAAAAATGGGTCGCTCTCAGGAGCTCAGTGAACTTAAAGGAGAACTATGAGATGAGTGATTTCCACTCACCTCATAGTTCTAGCCGACCTGTGACAATGAGACTGTCACAGGTCGGCTCAGTAGATCGGGAGGTGAGCGAACACATACCGGGTTCGCTCGCCTCTCGATCCTGTCACGGCTCTCTGCCGTGACAGGGGGAGGGGCTGGATTCCCCTCTCCCCGCTCCGATCTGCCAGCGCTGACTGGCGGAACGGACGGGGGAGGTGGCGGGTACAGCTGGCTCTGCCTCTAGATAGGCAGAGCCAGCTGTCACTCACGCAGCTGGGCGGATCCCGTCATCTACGTCGGGATCCGCTCCTTCTGCGGCGTCTCAGTATACCGCGAGCTGTAGCTCGCGGTATACTGAGCTTAGGGTAACAGGAGGATGCTAGTTTGTGTCCTCCCGTTACCCTAAGGAGAACTATGGGGAAAAACACTGACCTAGTTCTCCTTTAAGCGCGGCACCGTGATAGGTTGACACCTGTGCAATAAGGCCATCCATAAAATTTCCTTGCTACTAAATATTCCACGGTCAACTGTTAGTGGTATTATAACAAAGTGGAAGCAACTGGAAACAACAGCAAATCAGCCACGAACTGGTAGGCCCACTTAAAATGACAGAGCGGGGTCAGTGCCTGCTGATGCACAGAGTGCGCAGAAGTCGCCAAATGTCTGCAGAATCAATAGCTACAGACCTCCAAACTTTGTGTGGCCTTCAGACTGGCACAACAACAATCCGTAGAGAGCTTCATGGAATGGGTTTCCATGGCCGAGCAGCTGCATCCAAGCCTTACATCACCAAGTGCAATGCAAAGCGTCCGATGCAGTGGTGTAAAGCACTCCGCCACTGGACTCTAGAGAAGTGGACACGTGTTCTCTGGAGTGACGAATCTGGAGTATATATGGTTTTGAGTTTCTTGCACAGATTGTCATGTCAAGCCGGATGAAGGGGACCCTGCTTGGCCCCCAAACATTGCATTTTGATGTGACAATATGTGTGAATTAATAAGACGCTTTATTTTGGAACAGTGTGCAGGTGACATTTATGATATGCATTTTGATGTTCGGCGCCATCCGCAGTCACTTCAGCACCCACCTTTTCAGCACAAGGGGCATTCGGTAAGGAAAGCGGCAGTTCTCTGCAGTTATATCTTATTGATGCAGGCACCTTGTGCATAGTACATAAAAATAACAGAAAATCCAGACAGTTCCAGATTATTTTAGTGCACATTACTGCCACTCTGCACATCATGGGTGGCTGCACCAGGACACACTCCAAGTTGTGGAATCTGGTGCAGACTCCCCCCAGGTACATCACAATTGCCAATATATAAAAATGCACTAGTCTGTTTACTGATAATGCTGCTTATCAAAAATTACTAAAGCATGCTGCACCACCCTAGGATACATCAGAAGAAACATCTGATTATTTAAGCAGGCCTTTTTTGACCCGCCTAGGTGCAAAAGATTCCCTGTAGAGTGGATCAGTTATCCAATTTACCTGCAATACCAGCAGAGCCCTGTATTCTGCATATTGACCACACTGTTTAAGAGAGCTTAGTAGCCTCAGTTTGCATGGCGTTCTCTCAAGGGCAGAGACAGAGGCTATATAACTTTAGGCAGTGGTGGCAAAGCTCTCAGGGTATACAGATTGCTACAAGTTGACGCTACTCTAATGGCACAAATCATCTTGAAATCCAAGGAGACCTTAAAGGGCTATTTTGCTACAGCATCTACTACAGTAGTGGATACATGCATATTGGCTCAATAAAGCAGCATCATTCTGTAGTCTACTACTCACCAATGGGACTCCACACTGCATTTCCCTGCAGTGTGGTGTCACCCCCTGAGCTGTCTAATTAGATTTAGTTGTCACTGCTTGATCAAGGTCATCATACAGTTCCCCCAGGGCAATGAAGAATGTGTCCAGAGTTTGGAACGCCGTGTCTTGAGGTGAAAAGTCAGGGTCAGAGCTTTGTCCTGAAGTAAAGTATTGACAATTCCACGTTTCTGTTCCTTAGTAACCATTGAGTAGGGTGTTGTAAAGAAGTGGAGTCTAAAAGCATACAGGAAATTGCTCAACAGAATGTGGTCCGAAGAAAACGTATCTGGCATGGATACCTTCTGGAAGTGTGTGTGTGGGACTGTGCATGGGACTGTGCATGGCTGTGTTACAGAGGGAATTACTACTGCTTAGTATTGCAAATTAAAAAAACTATAATTGTCGGGTAGGCGACAGTGCAACATTTTATTTACAAATGGAGAAAACAGTTTTCTTGTAATTATAAAAGGCACAGCTTAACTGTACATCCATAAAATATACAGATTGCAGCTTAACTGACTGGCACTGAAAGAAAAACCATCTTTAGTCAAAGATATGTTGTACAAGGCACTCAAGGATTGCTTGCCAGAGGCCGACATTCTTGAACAGATTACACAAATACATCAGTAATGGGCCGCAGAAAGTTATGCTGACACTGACACTCTCCTTTCACAGCTATAAGAAGCTAGTGGGTCTGTCTCCTTTGAACCCGCAGAGTCTTCCACACGATTTGGACCTCCTAGGCCGGACTACTGAGGATCCCTGTTCTGTCCCTGCAGACTGGAACACTCTCCCAGTGTAAAGCCTAAATTTCCCTCACAGACTGGGCATCTGTCCCTCTCTGGTTCCATATATACACTCTACAAAATGGTGGCTGGACTCTGTTTATATATAGGAGCAAGCACAAAAGGGAACCTATCTCTCCCCAGGGAAAAAATAAATAAAAAGCCTCAGCATGTAAAAACTATATAGTTAAAAAATTAATCATTCTCTAATGTCCATATAAAAAACATAACCATAGTGACAAATTTTCTATACTTTTTTAGGACTACCTTGTAATTGTGCTGATAAATTTGTTCCGGTTTGTGGTCAAAATGGACGTTCCTATCCAAGTGCCTGCATAGCTCGCTGTGTTGGTTTACTTGATCACCAATTTGAATTTGGACTGTGTTCTTCAAAGGATCCATGTAATCCTAACCCTTGCCTCAAAAATCAGAGGTGAGTGAATACACTTTGTATGTTCTTTGTGTGCTACATATACCCATATATACAACCTTACATATGCTGCAGTGTTCTTAGAGGTAGAACATGTTTATTAGAGAGAATTATGCAGATTGTTTATGTAGGTGAAACAAGTTTATTTACTTAATATACAATTTTTCACATTCATACAACTAAAGTAAAAATGATTATACAGCCAGGATCACAGATCCCACAGATTCCTCTCCCTGTTCTCCTTAACCACTTCAAGACCAGGTGTTTAGACCCCCTTCCTGGCCAGGCCATTTTTCAGTATTCAGCTCTGCAGTACTTTGACTGAAGTTTATTCCGTCATGCAACGCTGTACTGAAATGAATTTTATACAATTTTTTTGGGACAGATAGAGCTTTATTTTGGTGGTATTTAATCACCACTGGGGTTTTAATTTTTTACTATAATTAGGAAAAATTAAAGAAAATTTTGAAAAAAAAAAGTAGTTTTTTTTACATTATGTTAGGAAACATTTATTATTACCCAGTTTTTTGGTAAAATATAAAAGTCAGGGTCACGTCGGATAAATAGACACAAACATGTCAACCTTTAAAATTGCGCGCACCCGCGAAATCGCAGAAAACTACCATACCCAAAATTGGCCATAGACGACACTTTAAAAGCTTTTACCGCTCATCAGTTTAGTGTTATCAGTGATTGATGGCCCTAGACTTATTGCTCTCACTGCGACGTTCGCGGCGATATGTAACATGTGCGGCGTAATGGGAGCAATCGTCGTTTTTGCACGTATGCGCCCCCGACGCATGTTTGCATGCGTGTATGTATGGGTGGGGACTTAAAATTGTTTTACATTTTTGTAATTCTTTTTTATGTATTACTTTACATTTTTTGGGGGGGTAACTTACATTTTTTTTCCTTCTTTTTTTTTTTTTAACTAAAACGGCACCCTATACACGCGATCCGCCGGCTCTACAGCTGGCGGATCGCTTGTATGGTAACACCGCTGGTAACACCGCTGCCTGTTTTTAAATTTCGGCCTTTTCCCGCTCGCGCGCGCGTCTGAGTTGACAGCTAAAGACGCCCGCTCAGATCTAGAGAGCTCCGGGCCGGCCGTTTTTTTACTATGGAAGTGGTTAAGGCCTTGTTCACACCGAAAGCGTGTGCGTTCCAGAGCGGTAGCTGCTGGAATGCACCGCGATCGCTGATAAACTTCCCCCCGCGTTTTGGGAAGGGAGGGGGCGTGACGGTGCGTTGAATTCAATGGCACCGCTTTCACACCCCCTGCCCGCAGAGCGATCGAAAGCGTGGTATAACTTTGCCAGCGTTCCGTTCCACTGCAAACGCACAAAATAGGGCAAGTTTACAAGCGATCTCGGTGCGTTACAGCAACTACCGCTCTGGAACGCACACGCTTTCGGTGTGAACAAGCCCTTAGTTTTTTTTCAACATATTTTAAAAATATAAAATTTTACATTTTGAACATTTTGAGCATGTTTATTTTTAAATGTTTTCCCTTTTCTTGTAGAGTAAATATTATAAACGGAAAATAGACAAAGCCTTCATTTGTAAATAACTTACTTTGTACCAGAAACATAAGTGTAAAGATAAAAGGGACAACTCACACTAAAAACTAATAGTGACACCAGTTGTTTTAATATTTTTACTGGCCAAACTAGAAAAAGGCATATTTATGAAGGTTCTGATTTTTTTGTAATTAAAGCTGAACTCCAGCCTTACCTTTTAGTCTTGTTGTTGTATAGGCTCCTCTCCTGTACTGAAAATGTATAGTCTAATTTCACTGCACACTTTGTGTTTCTCACGGTGTGCAGTGTGCTGCAGCACATCAGATAGAACTAGGGTTGCACAGATACCAAGTTCAGTACAAGTACGAGTACATGTACCGATACTTATGAGCTCCAAGACTAGACTAGAGAAAAATTCAAAAATTAGGAGGCAGCTGTCATGTGTAAGGCGCACACGGAGCTCCCGGGATTTGTACATCTCTGTTTTAATGTACGATTATGTTTTTAGAAATATAAATAAAGGGATGCACAGATACCAGTTTTGCAAGTACAAGTACTGGTACTTGCCGAGTACTTACAAGTACGAGTACTGATACATTTTTGTTTATTGTCATGTGACAGTTTTTCTAAAACAATACAGACTAATGATTTTAGGACAGTGGTGGAGTGCAAGAGCTAGATCCCAGCTGCAACCGCTGCAACCCTGGTAGTTCTCACGAAAATGCAAAGTATCTGCACTGGTACTCGAAAAGTATCTGTGCATCCCTAGATAGAACCCACCTCATTTGCTAGCTGGAGGACATCCAGCATCATCTAGCTCCTTCCTCCCCCAGACTGACTATATATGTCCAGCTCCTTTCATTCATTGGATATCAGTTCTTTCAATAGAGATTAACAAAACAGTTGTGGGTAGCTGGACCAATGGCCCCCAGGTGTGATCTCTCCCCCTACAAAATCAGTTGCAAAAACAAGGAGAGGAAATACCGGGGTTTGTGAGAGATATGACACCAAGGCTTGAAGTTTGATAAAATAATTTTTATTTAATTAACATATAAATTACAAAAATACATTCAAAAATAAAATAAAAAGTAGAAGCAACAACAGTTGCTAAAAACAGAGTTTAAGCTAGAAGCATGAACCCATTAAACATGTTCAAACATAGTGGTTGAAATGAATATTATCAGTCCAAACCCTATGCGTTTCACCATTTGGCTTCTTCAGGGGATTGTAACCTACCCTAATGAAAGACAACATATTCAATTAGCATGAGTCCACAAGATTATTGGGTCTATTTGAGAATATAAAGTGCACAGAGTAAATAATGCATATGTTTGGGTTTAATTATGTGCCCAATGGAGATAGTCCCACCACTATTTTCACCATCAGATACCACTTTACTCACCACCCAATTTGTAGTGGCTCAATGGAGATCGAGTTCTCTCTGTGGAGACTGGGTGGAGGAAGAATCCTCCAAGGAGAGCAGGGAAGAAGGATGCTCCGTTCAGTTTCCTATATCCCAATATGGGGGGGACCTCGGGGCCACTATAGGAAGGGAGGACCACCGGCTCACACAGGATAGAAGGGGCTGCCTATAGTCCCACATCCATCGACCTGTGTTTTACATGATTTCATTTCTTTAATATTCAACGCATAAGGGACATGAACACATTGTATATCTCATAGCCATATAGGTATGTCCATATGTGATTAATGTTTTAAAATAACAGTGCATACATGACTTGATAAATCAACCGGGAAAAAAAAACCCTTTAAATTGGCTTCCATGTGTTACTACTTATCTTGTTGACAGAAACAATGTGAAGTAAATAAATGATTGTATCAAAGGATATGTCCCTGTGTGTACTGCCTGTACATGCCTGTGTGTGCCCCATATGCAGGGCTCATTGTGAGCATGATCTTTTAAAGTGACAATTTTGTTGTGGATCTCTTGCGCCATATTCTAACTAGGAATGTATTTGTGTTCAAGGGGACCCATTACCTCCAGGTGCAGGGGGTAGCGATGGGGACATGTTGTGCCCCATCATATGCTAACCTGTACCTGGGGGGATGGGAACCTTGCCTCCTTTCGGATGAGTCCATTCAATGTTGGCTCGATAACATACCAGTATGGCGACGATACATCGATGATGTGTTCTTCATTTGGACGGATACTCTTTGTGAACTGAAAAGGTTTGTGGCCTCTTTGGCCACCAACGATTTCAACCTCAAATTTACCGCTAATTACAGCCAGGAGGAGATCACCTTCTTGGATGTCTCCATCCTAAAGGATGAGGGATATCTTAAGACCAAACTATATCGGAAGGAGACAGCCGGCAATTCCATACTGCAGGCCTCCAGCTCCCATCCACGCTTCCTAAAGGACAATCTCCCCTACAGCCAATATCTTAGATTAAAACGCAACTGCTCTAGGGATAGTGTCTTGCAAAGGGAAGCAAGGGCCTTACAAACCCGACTTCTGCAAAGGGGCTATAACAACAAAACACTCATTAAAGCCTATAACCGGGTGCAAAAGAAAGAGAGACTGCACATACTCTATGGAAACAAAAAGATGGACTCGGGAAGGGAGGTACCAGACAAACAAACAGTCAGAATGGTGACTAAGTTCTCAAGGCATCATGCCACCCTGAGGGACTGTGTGAAACGCCACTGGCATCTCCTAACGGAGGATAATACCATACGCAAGTATATTAAAGAAACCCCTGAAATAACCTTTAAAAGGGCTAGATCCATACGGGACAGAGTTACTAGCAGTTTCTATATTCCACTTGACCAAAAAATATCATGTGGCGGAGAGGGCTTTAGGAGATGCGGGCATTGCAGCTATTGTAGATATAAGGCAATGTAGTCCCTTTACCCAATGGACAGCAGTGGCGTGTCAATCACACAACCATTTGCCAGACCACAAACGTGATTTACCTAATGAAGTGCATCTGTGGTGCATTTTACGTGGGTAAAACATATAGGAAAACTTGGAAGCGAATATATGACCATCTATATCTGATACAAAGCGGCAAAATAACCTCCCCTATCAGTCGACACGTGGGCCTCTGTCCCAACTTTGATCTTTCGGTTATGAGATTCCATGTCCTCGACCATATATACGAGGACATTAGGGGTGGAGACGTAGACCAAAAACTACTACGAACGGAGGCACGGTGGATATATAGACTAAAGGCCACCACACCCCCAGGTTTAAATGAAATGCTTAGTTTCAAGCCTTTCCTACAATAAGAAGTGAGTGAACATGAACTAGGATTAACCAATAACACATGGTCCTAAAAAAATAATGAGGACGCATATACGTCCCAGTTTGGATTTTTCCTCAAAGTAACTAATAAATGAATATGACTCATGTATTCATAGGAAATTATATTTATGTTTATAATTTGTTCAGTTAAACAATGTAGCTATA